CAGGTAAAATTTAGATTTCTTTAGCAGGTTTATGTAGTATAGCAGCATGACCAGAGTCAGCAAATACCTTCAGACTTCCTAAAAGTTAAGGAAACTATAACCACAAATAGACTCATTACCTAGTTGATAACTGTATTTCTTTTACAATTGTTTTCACTTGTTTATTCAAAGTCAGTAGATATAGATCATGTTTTAAACAGCAGGACTGGATTGTATCAAATTTAAAGAACAGAAATGCCAACAAATTTGATCGTTTTATATGATCAAAATATATTGTGCAGTTAAGAGCACTTATTATTTTGTATGTATTAACATTATGTAATCTTCACTCTATAAACCTAACATTAAAAGCTTAGACTCACAGTATAGATAGATAGATAGATAGATAGTAAGATAATAGTTGTTTAATGAGTCAAACTGATTATTGAAAACATTTCACAAGTCAGCATTTAAATAAATTTTAAATCTTAAAACTCACTTTTTTAAGTAACCAAAAACCTAACAGCAGAAAATACGTGAAATTATCTTGAAAACATACAAAGCTTTGTTGTTTTTGTAGACTTTTAAAATTTTTATTAGGGCATATTTGCAGCACATAATTTGATATTCATTGTGGAGAGTTGATACATGTGGATGACACATCTTAATTCTTTTTATTTCTCTTCCCCTTCCCCTTCTATGTAAATGTAATCAATAACATTTTAATATCTTAAGAAAAGCTTACTGCTTTATTTATAGAAAACTCTTTAACCTTTTAATTAAAGCCAAATTAATTACATATAATAATAATTATTATTATATTTGTTGGCGTGGGAGATAATAAAGGTTAGGAAAAGTGAAGAAGCTGTCATCGTGGAGAACCTGAAGCAAGCTGGTTCAAGCAACTGCTCCTTCCCCCAGAGAGGGCAAATGCCTCACAGCTCCACAGCTCCGAGGACTGCTCCTTAAAGGAATTCTTGTATAATTGCTCATAGAGAATTATAGTGGAACTTTTAGTTCTCAGTAAATTTAAGAAAGCCATCTTAAATCTTTATATAAACTTATGAAGACATTTAATTATTCAAAATCTATTATTTATAAACTTTAAGGAGCCATGAATATTTGAATTTATATCTAACAACTGATAACTCAGATGTTATGGACATTTATAATCCTCAATCTCATTTGTATTTATTTATTTATTCTATTTTGTATTTAGGACAGGGTGGACAGGGTGGACAGGGTCTCACTGCATAGATTGGACTCATAGTGATCCTCCTGTTTTCAACCTTCCAAGTTCTGGGATTACAGGCTTGCGCCACCACGCCCAGTCTCAGTTGACGCCTTAGCATGCCTTGGGGGCAGGGCCAGCACCGCAGGCCAGGGGATCGAACTCCTGGCCCCTGCATCTGCCTAAGAAGATGCTTTAATCTGCTGAGCTATTTGGCCGGTGCTCATTTGTATTTATTACTTACATATTCTAACACTTACTTTAGATTACTCATGAGAACCACAGCATAGCATAGTTAACACTTTTTTTTTTTCAGTACCAGAGATTGAACTCGGGACCTTGCACTTGCCAGGCAAGTGCTTATCCCACTAAGCCATCTCCCCGGCCCTGTAGTTAACACTTTAAGATATGTACATCTCACATATATATAATGCTCTCTCTACATATATATAGATATAGATATAGATAGACATAGATAGATAATCTCAAAAGAAAAAACTCTTAAATTATTGTACACAGAAAACAATAGACATTGTATTTGTAAATCAATTTTTAAGATAAATATTATCTTGATTGGCTGACAATCTGGGTAAAATACGTTAACAACTGTAAAGACATCTTTCCTTTTCTCTTACCAGCCAGTTTAAATTGATTCACTGTTAAACATGTAAACAAAACTCCTTTGGGCTAATATCACGGGTGTCCACGTATCCATAAGCCAACTCAGAAATATACATATTAACCTAAATCATATAACTTTTATATTACCAACTTTAAGGCTTTTATTTGCAACTTTTATGTAAACCTTCAGCATAGTGGCTTTCACCACCTGATGTTTTAAGTGCTTTTGGTGACCCTTCACTGTTTGTTTAATTGTGTTTTTATGAAAGCCCTAACAGAGCCAGAAGTCTATAAAGGTAAGAAAGGAAGAGAAATTGATATGAGCTCAAAATATTTTTAAATAAGTAGTGTACATATTTAACCCATTGTTAAAAGCACACTTTAGCATGCAGACAGACAAGAAAACATATAGAACACGTAAAGCAATTACTCTAAATCAGAGAGCACTTTTGAGTACATTGGCCATGCTGGATATAATAATCTCTTTTTCTTAGTTTTAGGTTTCTAAGTACTGACTAGTCAGTTAGAATTTTCCCTAGGGGATATCATTTAGCACTTGTTTCATGTAAATTGTAAAATATTTTCTTTGTTCCAAGCTGCTCTGAAAACTTTTTTTTTTCCTGTTACTTAACACTACAGATTCATAACCAATAAGAATCGGAAGGGGGAAACTGAGAAGGGCTACAACTTGCAAATGGGATCCTTGTTCATTCTTCAGCTTTGTTATAAAACCAATGTTGAGGCTTTGTCTTTATTATTTTTTAACTAACATTTAAAGAAATATAGAGAAAAATCAATGTTTTAAAAATCGTCTATTTTACATCAGTCTCAGTTTTGTAAAGTTAAACTTGGCAGGGACATTTTGGAGACAGAGACTGAGTTACTCATAATCATGTAAGGTTCACTGCATGGTTTCTAGATCTTCCTGTATACTCCTGAAGAGAAATGGAGAAAAAGAAGAAGAGGAAGAAGGAGAAAGACAAGGAGAAGGAGAAGGGGGAGAAAAAGAGGAGGAAGAGGAGAAAAAGGAGGAGAAGGGGGAGGAGAAGGAGGAAGAAGAGGAGGAGGGAAGAAGAAAGAGGAGGAAGAAGGAGAAGGAGGAGGAGAAGGAAGAGGAGGGGAAAGAGGAAGAAGAGGAGGAGGAGAAGAGGAGGAGGAGGAAGAGGAAGAAGAGGAGGAGGAGAAGGAGGAGGAAAAGAGAAGGAGGAGGAAGAGGAAGAAGAGGAGGAGAAGCAAAGGGTGGGAGAAGGAGAAAAAAAGAGGAGGGGAAGGAGGAGGAGGAGTAAGAAGGAGGAAACAAAGACAAGACAGGATTCTAGGGCCCCCTGCCTAAGCAGTGGTGCTCCTCATTTTCTGTCATGACTATTATAGAAGCCCCAGCCAGTTGTGCACAAATTCTCCCCAAGGACAGGCAATACCACCAATCTGGCGTCACCATTGGTCTTCCCCTACACACCAGCACAATATAGGATCACCCCCTGCACAGTGCTGCCGCCAGAAAAGAGGGGTGACTGGAGGGAAGGGGAGCCAGTAGCTTGGTTATGACCTCCATTTTCCTCCTCCACCTCGCCCCACCTCAGGTGGGGGACAGGAATTGTCCTTGGGGCCCCGAGAAGCCCTCCTGAGCCCTCTAGTTCCCACCATTGCTCTCGAGCCACCAGCTCCCAGCTCTCCCACTCACTAGCATCAGAAAAAGTTAAAGGAGTTGAATTTGCTGACTGACAAAAGCCTCAGAAAGAAAGACTGGAAAGTGCAGGAAGGGAATGGTTTTAAAGAAGAAGAAACGCAGAAAACCAGTAGGCTCCTCCATAGGCTCTTCAGGTCCCCAGGAGGGTGTCTACTCTCACTGGAACCTGCACCCTTAGGACCTGGACTCAGCCACCTGAAAGGAGAGCCACGGCAGTAGATGGACTGAGTTCGTGCCCTTTGCTTTGGAGTGAGAGAGGAGAGTGAGAAAGAGAAGAGAGGATTAGAAGAAGGTTTGGAGGATCTCCTTTTATCTGAACTGCGCAGGACCCGAAGATGCCTGTTTCGGTGGAAACGGCTTCCTCAAGTGGCACCAACACTGGTTCTCTCTGTTCCGTCTCAGAGCTAGGTTTCCCATCCCAGCGGCAGGAAAAGTTTAGCTCAAGACACCCAACGGTTCTATCCTTACTGGCATCTCCCTGGTGGGCAAATTTTAGCTCCATCAGACCCAGGAGCAGGGTGTGCGGGCCCCAGTGGGGCTGCTGTTCTCTCAGCAGCGTGTGCCTCTCAACGCTTCGTGCCATTTCTGGATAGAAGAAGCCTGTGTCTCTTGTCTTTGCTGCTTTTATTTATAGACCCTCATTTCTATAGGGAGTTGGGAGCCTTTAACCGCTGGAAAGGAAAAAAAGATAGAATCCGAGACTGCAAGAGAAGGAGAGCAGAAGGGAGGAAGGGAAAGGAGGGGAAGGGTAAGAAAGAGGAGGAAGACTGGGAGGGGAAGGAGAAAAAGAAATCAGCTGTATTTCAGGGGGCGCGTGTGGAGGAAGAGAGGAGGACAACACAGAGCCTCCCGCAGGACTTACTGGAGCTGTAGCCTCATGCCTCTTCCCTTCCAGCCTCCCGCTCACCAAGAGAAATGTCACCGGAGAGGGTGCTAGGAGGCCCCTGAAACAGATGAGAGCCTAAGCCTGCGAGACCTGGAGCGGGAGGCTGCTGACTCGCATCATGGAAGAAGAATTTTCAGGTCTGCTCAAGAAGAGGCATGGGAGGATTTATTAGCCAGAATTTGTAAAGGACACATGCATTCCAGGCTAGGTATATTTGTAGGAGATCTGGGGAACATGGAAACCTGTGACTATGGGAAGAGTTGATTCAGTTTCCTGGTGCAAGGTGACAGCTCTTTCTGCAGGAGGAAGGGTGATGGAAAAGTTTACTTCACAGGTGAAGAAAGATGGTCTATTCACAGGTAAAGGAGAAAAAAAAGAAGAAGAAAATGTTTAACTGGGCTTGAGGAGCCAGGGATTTAGATCAGTGGTACCTGGCAATCATGAGGTCTTGAGTTCAATTTCCTGTACCCCAAAAGAAAAATAAAATAAGCTGAGCTTGTGTCTTGAATCTGCTGTTTTCTTCTTTTCAAAGTATGAATTTACTTGTCTCCTTTCTATGTATCCTTTTCTTTTTTTTTTTTTCTCTTCTACCTTAGGGCCAAGTGCCGCTCCCTGGGTGTTGGACAGAAATGAAGTCACTGTGAGGGGAGGAAAGAGGAGCGTGTCCTCCACTGAAGTGGCCCTGAGTGTGAGTCCCAGACTGGCTCTAGCAGGCATCAGCCATGGGCGGAGGTGGGAAGACGCCAGCTATGGCTGAGCAGGCCCAAGGCTCCAGGAATTCAGAGACCAGGCCTCTAAGTGCAGGCGGTCTGTGTTATTCTTACCACAGACCAAAACTCTGTCCCTTTGGAAGGGTTGGCTCTGCAGCTGTTTGAAAATCCCTTGGTACTTGGAGACAAATGATCCAAGTCAGGCTGTGCTAACAGGTCCGTTTTGGAGCCAGAGGGAGGTATGACAGATGTGGGCCTGCCGCTCAGTGCTTGGCCCATCCATCACCGCCCAGTGAAAAATCCCATGGGCTTCCAGACTCTCTGACAATATTGTTTACATTAGAACATGACTGAAACTTTGAGAAGAGAGAGAAACACTCGCTCTGGCCCCATGAACTGCCTCGCCCGTGCAGAGGCAGAAAGGTTTCAAGGTCTTGTCCTGTGTGGGTGGAGTTGGTTTCCTGTCAAACTGTCCCTGAGGAGATGAGGAACATTCTGGAATTTGGGAACCACTTCAGAAAGGCAGGAGGAGAGAGTTACATGGCTCCACACACCTGTCATGATATGGTCTCCACCTGGCTTAACACATCCCCTCTCAGAAATCTTGTGCATTCAGCCACCGGGGCTGCTGACAGAGAAATATTTTTCATTTCTACCTCAGACTCTCACAGCTCAGATGCCTTTGCCCAGCATAGTGAGAGAATGTAGTACTTTGCACTGGACCTGAAGTACCAGAAAAGCCCTAGGGAGCCCCAAAGACAGGAAGAAGGGCTGACACAGAGGTCCTGGGAGAGAGGGTGTCGCCTGCTGCAGCTGACAATCTTGGCTAAAGAAAGATTATGCACCTGTTTTATCTGCGGAGAAAAGCTGCAAGTTATGACTGTTTTGCTCTGACACGCCCCATTAAATATTCCTGGAATCCAAATGCAAAAGGAACAAAATAAACCACTTTGAAGTTCCAGGCAAAGAGTGATCTGGCTGGGTGGGGTCCAGGTACAGCTGAACATTCGGGCAGCCAGGATCCTTCCCCTGCTGCCTTGGGCTCTGGTCAGGCGGGTCATGTCTGAGTGGGGTGCTGCTCCGGGGTGAGTCTGGGCCTCAGTTTATACTCAGGTCCACAGAAAGTCGGGGCAGTAAAAGTAGCCTACACGGAGCCCTGGTGCCTACCCTGGAGGAGGGAAGAAAAGTTGCTGACTTCCTGAGAACTCAGTCTGCCCTGGGCAAAAGCAGATCCTGATTCAGAACACACAGGCTTCCTGCTATAAGTGCTGAGGATGAATGAACTCAGTTCTCACAGTGAACCTGCGACCTGGGCATCGAAACTATTCCATACTGAAGATGGAAAAATGGAGGGATGGTGCAATGAAGTGTCTTTCCCAAAGCCCCCAGAAAGGAGACAACGGCTCAGGATCTGAGCCCACAGCCTGGCTCCAAAGACCCTACCCTTACCTAGGATTGCTGCTGTTTCATCCACTGTACTCTGAAACCTATTATTTGACCCCAGAGATGTGTGCCAGGCCACCTCCTTGACTCCTATGGTTTCTCGCACCCCTGGAAACTTCTCCAGGTCCTGTGATTGGCTTTCCCTCAGGTCACAGCCCTCCTGGCTGCCTGGACACAGCCTCCCAGCTTGGCCAGGGCCCTACAAATCACCTCTCAGCCTGCTTCCTGCAGTATTTCCTGCCTAGAGACAGGAGAGTTATGCAAAATTTGATTGTCATTAAAAAGCCAACAAAGCAACAAGAACCCAGGGTTGTTCTTGGGGTAGTTAGTGCAGCACCCCCACTGAGCCCAGGATTCACTGGGGCTCGTGGTTCACTGAAGTCCTCCCTTGTTTGAGGGAGCTGAGAAGGCAGGACACCCCCACCAAGGCTCAGCATCAGAAACCTGTGGACCTCAAGAGCTGGAGGAACGAGGCAAGTGCTCCTCTCACTGCGTGGAGATCAGACCCCACTTCCTCCTGCTCCTCAAGACTGTCTGCCTTTCCCTTTTCCTTTTGACCTGAGAAAAGACCTCCTTCACCCAGACTTACCTCACCCTGACTGATGGTGCTTATGTTCCCGCATGCTTCAGGGCACAGTGTCCTTCCTCCCGGTAACTCCCACAGCCTCCTTGCTGTAACTGAATGTGTATTTCCAGAACACAAATCAGATGAGACCTCAACCCTGCTTCAAACAATTTTGAGTCTGATGAGGCCAGCAGCACAAGGGAAACAGCCATTATACCTTATGGTGTCATGTGCAGCCCTTTGCGGTACAGCCTAGTCCCCTGGCCTTTGCTTTACTTTATCTAACCAGAGCAGATTGGTCCTCAGCTTGGTATTCATCTTCTACCCATCATACAAAGCCCCATCAAACATCACCCATGTCTAATTTCATATACCTCTCCAGGAATTTTATGGTTTGTGTCTAGTTGTACCCCCAAAACCTCATGCACTCATGGAGTTTTCTCAGAGGTGTTTGACTCTAGAGTATGAGACTGATTCATAGTACAATGCTGGGGTTAAGGTGGACAATTGCTAGACCAGTTCACTGACTGGATTGACACTGCCCTAGTCTCGATAGACTGGATACCATATGAGGGATAGAAGAGGCTAGTCTCCCAGCTTTGCTGCTCTTGCTGTCTTTCACTGCCACAAACTGTTACCCCTCTGCCTTGGAGCCATTTTTATGGACTGAAATCTTTACAAACTGAGCTAAACAAAATTTTCCCCCTTTAACTTTGTGTGCCGTCAGGTATTTTATCTCAGCAATGAGAGAAAAGTAACTAAGGTGAAGAACATTTCAAAAATTCCGTTGCACTTTCTTCTTGGTATAACCCTTACATCACATTCATTTATTTAATTATGTATCTCCTCCTAGTAATGCTCAAGAAATGGTGACTTCATCTCTGAACTTCCAGCAACCAGTAATGGGTTGTAGTACACATATTTGGAGAGAGAAACACATTAAGCCGATATCTTCGTTAACCAATGAGATGAGCCCATTCTTTACTTAGCTATAGCAGAGAACACACTGGGAGAAACCAAACTATTCTGTGACAAGGAAGAGAAGTACCCTGAGGTGAAGAGCTGCCAAAAGGAGCTGGAGAGACAGGCGTGGAGTCCGCAAGGATCTGGCAGTCTCAAAGGCAAAGCCAAGCCATTAACTTCAAAGTAGCTCATGCCAGCTCTGCCCAAGGGAACCCACTCTGCCTCCTGACCCTGCCTCTCACACTGAGTCTTAAGCCAGCCATTGGCATCATCTCCTGGAATGACAAAACCAGCCCCTGGGCACCTCCTCTTTGTAAAACCATAGCAGGTAGGCAAAGATTATCCCCACTGCCATGGTTTCAGCCCTGTAGTGAACAGCAAGCATCTTCCCTTCTCTGCAGTCCCCACCTCAGATCCACTAATCTAGAAGTTATTGCAACCACTGTGAGTACACTCATCACTATAGAGAAGGTGGGCTTCTAGTCAAATGTATTCAAATCCAGTGCTCTCTCAGCCTACATCTCAGTTTTCTCATCCCCAAAGAGAGGATGAAGAGCCATCTCCAAGGGGCTGGGTGAAAAGTAGAGATGATAGACATAGAACCTCAATTAGCAAACAGTAGGTGCTCAATACAGTAGCTCTAGGGTTCAGTGCCCTCCTTGCTTTTCCTTTCAAGTTGATGAAGAGCAGCTAATCATCTAGCTTGTGAGCTTAGTCAGAAAGAGCTAAGTCCACCTGTGAACATGGCACACATGACAGGAACACGCAGGCTATTGTGCAGTAGGACAAGGTACATGTAAGAAGAAAATAAAGCCATACATATAAATTTAAAAAACTAGAGGGCATTTAGAAGGATAAGTAACAAAATATTAAGATTCTTGGAATTATGAGTAATATTTTTCTTTTGGTTATATATTTATCTGTTTATTTTATTTCAAAAATGAGCATGCCTTGAGTAACAATAAGGGAAAAGTTAAACCACATGTTACAGAAATCTGCACGCAATATGGTCCCTAAATTCAAAGCACCATCTGGGACTTTCATGTCAAAGAACTATGGTTTACAGCTGCAGGTGGCGGTGGCCTCCATGTGGAAGGAATTAAGGTAGCTGAGCACATCCCTGCCTTAAGAAGGTCCCTGTGTAGATAAGGTACATGTCCTCCTAAAGTGGAGGCTTCCCTAGAGCTGCCTCTCAGCAGAGAACCTTGCGAAGTTGATGCATTATTTCTGAACACAAATTACCCATTAGGTGAGTGTTATGTTTGGGCTTTATTTTTAGAAATTAAGTTACACCTTTAATTCATTTGGTGAGCATTAGCCTTAGAACACTGCAGGAAAACAAAGTAGTTCAAATTCTTGCTTTCTTGTAGCTTTCTATTTTACAAATTTGCATGTTATTTGGCTTTCTCAAAGCAAGAAATACCTTACTGAGTGAAAGCTGGTTCTAGCACCACAACTCTCCATTTAGTTCAGGATAAAGCTCTGATGCCTTTGCCTCCTTCTTTGGCACCAGCGTGCTGGAATGTGCCAGAGCAAGGGAGGTGATGACATTCTGTGTCTATGAAAAGCATACGGGGCAATTTCAAGGGCTAGTTTCTCACCGGGCCTGCTCAGAGTCAAGGCAGTCGACTAAATTAACTCTTGACAGCCTTTTCAGCTCTGCAAGTCTATCAAATTTATGGTCAAGAGGCATCCGCTTTTAAAATTGTAGTTACTTATCCTTCCATGAAGAAGAGATGGAAGAAACATTTGGTTCACATTAACATAATAACCAGCCGAAGGCCAAAGAGTCAAATGAGAATTATGAATCATAATAAAAATAATGTCTTTAAGAGGCTAAGTGATTCTCTAACAAAGACTATCTAGAACCTATTTACAAATGGAAATTTTACAATGTAGTTTGTTTTGAAGGTTGGTTTAATGACTGCTTCATTACATCATCAAGTCAGGTTCTTTTTTTCTTTCTACTCTGCTGCCTCTAATATCTTGCTTTTCCCTTCTTGGTCACAGAATGGCTGTAACAATTTTGAACCACCACATCCTCAAGCAGAAACATCCAGAATCCTAGTTCTAATTCAATCATTGATGAGAAGAATAGACTTAATGCAAAATGAATAATGGATCCCTGTCTGGATCTGGAGACAGAGCCTTCTTGCTTCACAATAATTGTCCTGATGTTTGAACAAAATCAGGGTCTGATAAGAAGGAAGAAGGGAGGCTGGGACAGTGGGATGGTCTACTCCAAGAGCTGTCCCAAGGCACATACAAGATTTATAACTGATAACACTGAAAGACACCAGAGGAATTCATTCATGGTTCCGGGAGGGAAGCAATTCAAAGCTGAAAGGCTGTGCCAAGCCAAACTAGGAATCAAGTTCATTCTGGGTAGGAATCAATCAGAAAGTTTAACTTACTTAAATGTTTTGAAAAATAAGAAAGTATTGGGGGATGTATTCCGTCAGAGTGAAACAGAAATTCAAGAAAGAGAACTACCTTAGATCCAGCAAGAGTGAGCTGAACCAAGGAGTGCAATGAAAATAAATCTGAGCTGAAAGTTCTGCAGCAGGTCTAGAAAACAACAGGCCAGAATTAAAATAAGCCTCAAAGGACTCCATCACATATGCATTCAAAATGCAAGTGGATGTTGTCATGTAATTCTATGAATAGGAACCTCAAAATTATGGATCAATTGAAAGTATATATTCTGTCAACAATAACAAAAATGGCTAGAAATTTCAGAGAAAATAAGTAACTTCAATGTCATATCACAAGTAGGAAACAGAATCAAAAGTGACATGGCATTGAGCAACTGTTCATATGAAGAATGCATTTTGGCTATGAGGTTTATTAAGTTTTCTGTCCAGTGGTTCAGGGTAGTAGAATAAGATTTTATTTGTTTTGCTAAGGATCTACTCATACCTTTTCTGGTTTAATCAGTACATGATATTTATATCATTGTAATTTCACAAATGCTATGAATTTTGATGTGCTACTTTATAATCCAACTATTTATAAATTTGAGAAGATTAATTATGGTCATACGGAAAATGTCAAGGTTACAAGTATTGAAGATTTAATAGTAATATTACAGCTGATAAGAGTTGAGGAGGGTGAAGAAAAAAGTGAAAGTGTACAAATTCTGTATTTATTTGTTTTTAAGTTTTTTAATAATTTTATTGAGAAACCAATAGCAGTGAGACAGTTTCAAAACCGATTAGTAGGACAGTTTCAATAATTAACACATTGCATATTGTTGTCTTCTTAGTGATTATTCATAGTAGAAGATGCAGACATCATATCCTTTCCAGATACTATTAGTACAAATCTTTCTATTCATCGAATTTAGAGAAAGTAGCTGTATATCTATCCTATTTTGAATATACAGATACAAAATGGTCCTTCCTTTGTATCCCCTTTTTTTGTTTAGTTTTGTCAGAGAAGGGTAACCCATTATCATTTAAATATTGTACGTGCGTGAATTCAGCAAAATATTCCAATATAGTCCAGTAGTCCATAGTAGTAGTGGGTTTTCTGTAGGCCTCGCAATGTCAGCTGTATTTATTTGGAGAAGGAAGTTGATACATACATTCTAAATTTCCTGAATTTAGAAGTAAAGATTTACTAAAGACCAAACTATAGTAGTAGCAGTGAACACTCAAATGCTTTAATTGAGACCTTTAAATACCATTTCATACTGAATAAGCAGCACCCACTGGAGATATGGTTAGTCCGGATCAGAAGCAGCAAAGGTGTCAGTGAATCTGGAGCATCTATTCAGATCAGAAAAAAAGGGAGCTGTCAAAGACTAGGAGTTAAGTCAAGAAGATGCAGGAGTGAACCTGCAAAAGTTTCTCTCATCAAAGACAAGACAATTTGAACATCAATAATAATTGAAATGGAATGACTGTAAGCACTACATTGTTTATCACTGATTGAGTGAAAGGAACTCAGCGGTAACCACTGAAAGATGCTGGAGAATCAATTCTTCCTTTTAAACATTAGCAAATTAAACAACTTTTAAAACAGTTAAAACAGGTAAGTAATTATTTCTGCTATATCTTAGGATCATAGAATGGTTGAAGGAAAAATTTTTTTTTCACAACAGCATTTCAGTAATTAAGGTGATAAGGAGTGAGAGAATACAACCTCCCCTGGTGAAGAAAACATAGGCAGTGGTCATGGAAAGCTGCTGTGATCCTACAGACACCCAGAAGCGATGAACCCATGGGTAAAGCTAACAGAACTATAGATGCAATCTACTTGCCAGAAAATAAAATCTCATTTGAGAAGACTCTAGATCTAATTACCAATTTACAGGGAAGTAGGGAAGAAAAGAACATGTTAAATGACACCATTGGAGTGCAATGATCAGAATCCAGACAATGGAAACTGTAAGTCAAGCAGCCAAGTTTTGTCAACCAGTTACATTGCTGGATAAGAAAGAAAATTATAGATTTAAAAGGATTAAGGAGACATGTCAATCAGTTGGAGTATCAGGACTTTGTTTTGAGCTTGATTTAAGCACACTTAAAAATAAAAGAGAATAAAAAGTCAACAGTAACTAGCTACTGAGGAATTATTGTAATTTTTTGGTGTGTAATGGCATTAGGTTATGGTGTTTTGTCTTCTTGAGTCTATATTTTGGGAAGAAATCAATAAAATGGCATAATGTCACATTTATTCCAAAATAATCAATGGAGGAGAATGTGTGGAAATATGGGTGAAAAGAGATTCTCTAGGGATTCATAATAGAAGGTGGGTGGCATAGGGAGACTGATTATTTTCTTCTATTTTTGCATTTGCTTGAAATTGTCCCTATTAGAATACCTTATAAGATAAAAGTATAAGTAGAGTATCTGAAGCTAATTGTTAGCCACTAGAAAACTCAAACATCTAATGTAAGTATCAAAAACCAGGCAAAGGAAGCAGAGCCTGATGGGAGCTTGTTTACCCCCTACTCGCCCTTCTCATTCCCATGGAGTAGAGACCCAGCCACTGTTTATTGCAGGAGGGCCAAGACACAGAGTCATGGGAACTGATGCAGAAGTTCGGAGATAGCCATCAAAACACTTTAAAGTCTCAATTTAACAAAAAGGAGAGAAGAACATGGTGAATTTCCTCTCTCATTTTATATTGTATTGTCTGTTTTTAATTTGTTCATATATTTCTTTTTAATTGTGCTAAGATCTGTATAACAGAAAAATCACATAAACACATTTTAAATGTCCAAATCAGCGTCATCCGGGGTGTCTGCAACATTGTGCTCTCTTTTCCATCGCCTATTTCCAGAACTGTTTCTCGTCCCAAACAGAAATTCACTAAACAATAACTCTCCCCTCTCCTTAAACCCTGGTAACTGCTATTCTGCTTTCTGTGTCTCAATTTACCTACTCTAGATGCTTCCTAAAGCTGGAATTATGTGGTATTTGTCCTTTCATTTCTGGATTAGTTCTCTTAGCAGAATGCTTTCCTGGTTCATTTATGTCATGGTGTGTATCAGAATGTTGATCCTTTTCTAGTTGTGGTAAAATATACATAACAAGACGTAGCATTTTAACCATTTTAGGACAACACAGTGCCCGTAGCTATGCATGCATTACTCTGCTCTTGCCATCATCCATCTTTAGAACTTCTTCACCTTCCCAAATAGAAACTCTGTACCCATCAAGTAATAGCTCCCCATTGTTTTTTTCCTGCTCTCCCCTGGGGCCTGCTCCTGTGAATCTGTCTCCTGGAGGTTGTCTCATGTTAGTGGAATCCTGTAGTTTTTGTGCTTTCATGTCTGGCTTGTTTCACTTAGTACAATATTTTCAAGGTTCAACCATGTTGTAGAATTTCAATCCCTTTAAGTGTGAATTATATTTATGCACCATATCTTCATTCGCTTGTTGAAAGACATTTCTAATTTTTTGGATGTTGTCATTAATGCTGCTGAAATCTTGGTGTGCAAGTATCTGTCTGAGTCTGTGCTTCAAATTCTTTTGAGTATCCACCTAGAAGAAGAATTGCGGGACCGTATGAAATTCTATGCTTAACTTTCGGGGCAACTCCTGAGCTGTTTCCCGCAGCAGTTGCACCATTTTGTAGTCCCAGTAGTAATTCAGAAAGGCCCCAATTGCTGTACATCTTTAACAGCACTTGCCATTTTTTGCTTTTATTTGTTTGTTGTTTGTTAAGTAGCGACCCAAATAGCTGTGAAGGAGTATCTTACTGTGATTTTGATTTGCATTTCCTTAATGACTAGTGATGTTGGACATTTTTCATGTGCTTATTGACCAGTTGCGTATCTTCGTTGGTAAAACATTTATTTGTATCCTTTGTCCATTTTTTAGTTAATTTGATTTTATGTTACTAAATTGTTGGGACTCATATTCTTAACATTAATTCCTTACTATAGATATGATTTGCAAATCTTTTCTCCCATTTTGGTATTTTCTTTTTGTTCTGTTAGAGTGTCTTTTCATGGGGAAGTTTTTCATTTTGGTGAGATCTAGTTTATGTGTTCTATTCTTCTTTTCCTTTCTGAAGTTCAGTGTCATATCCAAGAAACTGTCAAAGCTAATATCATGCAGCTTTTCTCTCACGTTTTCACTACGATTTTAACAGTTGTGCCTCTTACGTTTAGGCCTTTGACCCATTTTTGGTCATTATGTATTTTTATTTTATTTAATGTAATGTGAAAGTAAAACTGTTACTTTCGGAGTTTAGTAATAAACATAAGAAAATAAGATGTAAAATTATTTAATGTACCTAATTCAATAAGATGACAGTTATCTTTTTGAAATTATTTGAAGAAATGGAAAAAATTCAGTTAGCTTTTTTGATTTTTATCATTAGAAATTCCTGTCTTTGAAAATTACATTGTTCTACCTTTTCCTCCTTTAGTTTTGCAGTGGCCTTCAGTTAAATTGCACTGGAAAGTCCAAAATAGACACTGATTCAAAGGTCAGCAATGACTCTTACCCAGTGCTCTGGGAAACCTCAGAAGCAGGTGGCTTCCAGCCTGTGCGTTATGAGGAAGGTTAGTTTCTCATTTGGTCCAAAAGGAGGGACAAAAATAGACTCTGGGAGCCTAAGGCACTAGGCACAGTGATGGGACTGGGCACAGCCCACTAACTGCGGCACTAGATGTTGATCGCTACCAAGATGCACGAGAGGGGTCCCACGATGAGGGTGGAATCTGGGTCCTCTACTGGCACATGCCCTGCTTGGGCAGTGAGGACCTCTGCAAGTTGATCCTGATCTGACCTTCTCTCCTAGTCCTCGAAAGCTCTGTGCCTGCGCATCTAGAATGGTGTTGCACCCTGGGCTCTGGCAGGTACCAATGGCCACGCACATCAGCCACTCACTTCAAAGGTTTTTGCCCTAAGACCATCGACTGTCCACACACCCAGCCTGTGAAAGCAATGACAGCTGCCTTTTACTGAGCACAGAATTGATGTCATGTTGCCCTGTCATCTGATTCTAATAATAACCTAGGAAGGTGGGTGTTTTTAGTCTCATTTTACAGATGAGGATACTGAGGGTTAATCATCAGATTTAAGATACTGCAGTTAGAATGCAAACCAAGTCCAGCTGGACCAAGGCCATCTCAGTACAACCTTGTATCACATAACAATGTTTTAGATAATATATAGCAGTGGTCCCATAGGTTGTACTAGAGCAGAAATTTTTCTGTTTTCTAGTGAGATTGTGGCTGCCATACTGCCTCAGCATAATCTGTTACTCAAATGTTTGTGGTCACATGAATATAAATAAACCCACTGTTCTCCTGATCATATAAAACTATAGCAGCTATAACTATGTACCTTGCATGATTCTTGATAATGTTAGTAAGTGTTAATAAGTGGTCCATATTTAAAATGTTTCCCAAAGCCTTCTGTGTGCATATATGGAGTGTTTGTAAGGTGATCAGATTGTGGGGGCAGTATAGCTGACCTGTTGTCGGGAGGCGGGGCCTAGATGGGAGGGATGGATCACGGGGGCGTGGCCTGGGAGAACTCATTTCCTTTCCCTGCTCCTCCCTTCACACTCTTGCTTCTTGTCCACCATGCAACGGGCAGCTCACTTTGGCCCAAGTATTTCTACCCTCTGCTTCTGCCCTGGAGGCAGTTAACTACAGA